TTTTTTTTTCAGAACCGGGGATTGAACTCAGGCCCTTGCGCTTGCCAGGGAAGTGCTTATTCCACTGAGCCATCTCCCCAGCCCCTTAAAAAATATTTTTTAAAAGCAGAGGGGCTGGGACTGTAGCTCACATGGAGAATGCAAGCTCAGGTCCCATGTGGATTTAGTGTACAGGCTGGGGCTGCAGCTTCGTGGCAGATCTAGGGATGCTTGGACTGTGCAAGGCATTTGTGAGGCTCTGGGTTCCATCCCCAGTGCTGGGGTACAGAAATCACAATATGCTTGCGTGTCAGTTTATATAGGGAGTGGCTGAGGCTGGAAATTGGTCATATGCGTGGAAGCAAGACAAGGCCAAAGTGCCTGAAGCAATCAAATTACCTCACTCATGAGAAATTATCTTGCCTGAGATAATTCCAGTCATTAGTTGCTGGGTAACCCTGTGTACATGATACTAACTTTGTCACAAGTATAAATAAATGCCCTTACAGGCATTGTCCAATTCTTCTACCCTGGAAGAGGCCCTGACCTAACCTCAGCTTTCATCTCGTCTTTTTCTTTTTCCTTTCTTTCTTTTTATTTATTTATTTATTTATTTATGTATTTATTTATTTATTTAGGGAAGGGTCTACAGGGTGTACAGGGTCTCATTATGTAGATTGGACTTGTAGTGATCCGCCTGTTCGCAGCCTCGCGAGGAGCATGCACTACCACACCCAGTCTCAAATGCTGTCTCAGCACGCCCCAGGGGCAGGCCCAGGACCGTCAGGGCCAGGGATTGAACCCCCGGCCCCTACGCCTGCTTGCAGGTGCTTTAATCCACTGAGCTATTTGGTTGACCCTCGTCTTTATTTTCTAAATGCCCCATTTTCCCCAGGGACTGTCAAGAGCTGTGTGGGTCCTGGCAAGCTTAAACCACTTCATGTCAGGGTGGCCTCCTTATCCTATGCCCACTGTGTGACTCCAAGCAAGAAAACCCTATCTTTCAAACACGTGTGTGTGCACAGACTTCCCAGACCTTTTGCAACCCTCTCATTTGGCTGCCTCAGTGTTCTTTTATTATAGATAGCTAAACTAGGGAGAAATTTAGATAGGGGCAGGCCCTCAAGACAGTCCATCCATGGGCTGGAGAGATGGCTCAGTGGTCTAAAGCACCTACTTAGAACAAGCTTAGCAAAAGCATCAGGGACCGCGGTTCAATCCCCCAGCACCACATGC